GACCATTAAAACCAAGATGTGACACATTTTGTCCACCCCCAAATCACTTCAAGCACCTGCAATCCACCACTCTGTCCTGATCCAGTGTGCTCCCCACACCCATGACTTGGCCTTTTCCAGAATGTCCTGTTGAGGTCATAAGCGTTCTCCCAGCAGGAAGTCTGTTGGGTTTGGCTCTTTCCACTCAGTGTAATACCTTTGAGGGCCTCCATGTGCCACCCAATTCTTCTTGTTGCTCAGCAGGATTCCTTTGTGGGGATGGGCAAGGTTTGGTTGCCCATAAAAGAGGTAAGGATGTGCTAATGTGGAATTCTCAAGACTTGGTAGATTGACTACCCTGAACTGAGGATATTGGAAAAATCATAGCTGCCCAGGATCATCCCGTTTTGCCCGCCATGCAGACACTTTCATCTTTATAGAGAAAGGTTGCCTTCCCCAAACCACAGTGAGAGAAGAGTCTTCGGTGTCAGAGGCTGGGAATTGAGTTGCAGTGGACCTGGATGAATGAGCCTCCTCCTGTGCTATCTTTGCACCCCCATTAATTGCCTGGTGACTTCCTTGGAATTTACTCCTGCAGCCTCCAAACCCCTCTGTCTTTTTCAGTCTGCACACATTCATCATTTTTTGTCTAAAAGGTAGGAGAGCATCTTGATCTGACCATTTCATTGTCTCTTCCGCTTCTTGTGAGGGCCTCATTTTCAGGTCTAATAGCAAAACATAGGTGCTTGGTCTGGGGGTGTGGCCTGAACCTTTACCTTATTTGTGTACAAGGACCTGGGATCCACCCCCAGCACCATAAAAAATAAATAAAATTTAAAACTTGGCTGATTTCCTCTTGCTAATCTGCCTGGTGTTTATTTGGTTCCCAGACCTAGCGAGCAAACCCGTTTTGTTTTTGGGTTTTTTTCCAGTGCTGAGGGCTGAACCCAAGCTCCATGCATTCAATGCAACTGCTCCACAGCTGAGCTCCACCCCAACCTGACAACCTTGCTTTAGATTGTTAACGGATGAAGACCACTATTAGCATACTCTCCATCCATTCACCAGCTGAGGGACATTGGTCTTGCTTCCTGGTTTTGGTGAGGACAAATAAGTCTTCTGTAAATACCCACTTACAAGTTTTCATGTGAATGTAAGCTGACATTTCTCTTGAATTATACTTAATTATGGAATGGTTATGGAAGTATATGTTTGACTTTGTTACAAAACTGCTGGCCAGAGGTGTAGCTTAGTAGCAGCACGTATGGTTAGCATGTACAAGGGCCCAGGTTCAATTCCCAACACAGAGAGAGGAGGAAAAAGAGAGACTGAGACAGAGAGAAAATAGAGAGAAACTACCAACCTGACTTCCATGGTAGTCGTTCCATTTTTTGGCATCTTAATACATCCAGAGAAGCCATCACTTTGGCCAAGCCTGGTTCTCCATCTCCCCAGCCTCTCACACCCATGCCAGCAGGCAGCCCGGGTGTTTATGGCCCCTTAGACAGCCTGAGCCCCAACCCAGTCCCAGCCAGCCCATGACCCAGTCTGATCACCAGCTCTGTGTGGCCAGCCACATGAGTCTTGCATCTGCTCCTCACACTTACCCACCACCAGCCCTAGGCTGCCATGTCTCACATGCTTGGCTCCCAGACACCTGAGAGAAGAGCTTGCAGTCAGGCAGTTCCTCTGTGCAGGACACCTTACAAGCAGTTTCACTGTTTCTTCATTTCTTTACATATTACCATGTGGTCATCAGTCCCATTTCACAGAGGAAAAGAGTGAGGAATAGAGAAGTGGATCACTGGGCTAGGACAAGAGTTGGGGAGAGGTAGAGACAGGCTCACACTCAGAGAGTCAGTCTTTAGGGCTTAGGTGCATTTTCCGGTGGCTTCGGGGTCAGTGTGAGCCTAAGGGTCTCTCCAAGCACACTTGCTCCCTGCCACATCCTTGCTTTGTAGCATCCATGGTGTGCATCACTTCTGGGCAGCATGTGGGAAAAATGCCCCCCTAAATGCCACTAAAGGAAAGTTCTTCCCTCCTGTCTCTGCCTCCACACAGCAGTTGGGTTGATGATCACCAAGTCTTTCCTGGTGCTCCATGGGGCCACTTGGTGAAGTAAACAGAGGAGGTTACTCTGCCTCTGCCTCCATGCATATGCCTGTAATCCCAGAAATCCCAGAGTGTGGGAAATTATGGCAGGAGGACTACAAGTAAGTGAGAGCCCAGCCAGAGCAACTTTGCAACTTAGTGGACTCTGTCTCAAAATGAAAAAAGCTGGGGTTGTAGCTCGGTCCAGAGGCTCTGGTTTCCATCCCCAATACCAAGAAAGAGAGGAGAGGGGTAGAGGGAGAAAGAGAGGAGAGAGAAGAAGAAAGAAAGAAAGAAAGAAAGAAAGAAAGAAAGAAAGAAAGAAAGAAAGAGGAAAGGAGGGAGGGAAAGAGGAGAAAGGAGAGGAAGAGGAGAAGGGTGGGAGGAAGGAGAATGAGATGAGCCCACCTGCCATCGCTGTGGTCTGAAGGACTCAGGGTTGAGCAGCACAGCTCAGGGGCAGCCTGATGGTGCCAGCCTCCCCAGGAGTCCACGTCCCTCGCAGATGGAAGTAACTGGTGGCAGCAGCAGTGTCTGTGACTCTGTCACCCACCAAGCCAGAGGCGTTTCCTTCCCCCACAACATTGCTGGGACACTGAGCTCAGCCCTGAGGGAGGCCAAGATCAGGGCGATGGGCTGTCAGTCAGTGGGTCAGTGAAGAAACGCAGCTATTCTTAGATCACAAATGTATTCATTCATTTTACAGCAGCTGCATTTCTATAAAGTGAGTTTCCTTTGAAACCTGTGGGCTTTATTTCATCCTACCCCTTTCAAATGTTACTCTGGCACAGGGCACTTTAAAACCCTGGACTGTGGACCCCTAATCCCTAGCTAGTGTTTTCAGGGGAGCCGCCCCTCAGCACCTCAGGCTGCTGGTCTCCCAGGGGCAGCCTCCTGGACCTCCCATGGCCCGCCACTCCCTGCTCCTGATCACCACATTTGCCCCCACACCCTGCACCCTGTGCAAGCCCCAGGCCCTTCCCAGGGGCAGGATACACAACCTCGAACCTCCTGAGTCTTTTACATCTTGCTGAAGCAGATGCAGACTACTGAACACCTCCTGGGTATTTGGGGCTCACTTTTCTGTATGAACACAGCCATGAAAAAGGAAGAACAGAATGTCCTGCTCTTGAGAGAATGACATTCCAGAGAAGGTAATGTAGCCATGCTGTGGTGCAGGCTCAGGAAAAATGTGGAAGGTAAAGCCCTGCACAGTGTTCAAGGGGCCCTGTGTGACAGCCACCTGGCCCTGACTTCACAGTGTCCATGAGGTCCAAGGAAACGTAACTTGCTGTGATCATTTTCAGAGGGAGGATCCCTGCCAGCTCCCTTCCATTGGCCAGAGGAAGCCTAGACCTTAAGGATGAGGAGTTATATTTGCTAAGGACCAAGGGGAAAGTTTTGAGTAGCTCATGCAAAGGTCGTGGGATGGAGAGAAAGATGGAGATCAAAGAAATAAAGGGAAGCAGAGAGCAGAAATGAGATGCAGGAGGACAGAAAGACAGCCGAGCAGGGTGAGGGAGCTGGCTGGTGCAGGGAAGTGGTGGGGGACACAAGTGAACTCTTAGCTTCAGTGTGGCGGGAAGCCTGAGAGGGTTTCAGGCAGGGGCCTATAGGCTTGCTTTTGATTTTAAGACCACTTTGCTGCTCGGAGGAGAGTGGACTACAGAGGAATGGGCTGAGTCTTTGGAGGCTACAGGTTGCCAGAAAGCAAATGAGCAGTTCAGACTTGGCCCCTCGGGGCCGAGGAAACACCATGCCTGATTCCTTGGAGTCACAGGCAGGAGACTGACTTCCAGATGGACAAAGCATTGAGTCCCGACAGGTAGACAGAAGCCCCGAGGGGTTAAGTGCTCCAGAGTGGGGTCTCTGCTCGAACCAACCTGACACAAGGGGTCTGAAGTGTAAGTCCTGGCTTGACTCAAGGTTGGTCAACTCCCTCTACTCCCATGACTCTGGGAAAGTCCCTAAAATCACTGCACCATTTTTTTTCTAAAGCAAGGTAACAGTGTCCCCAGGCCTGCCTAGAGATGATGTCCAGCATCAACCTCGTGTCTCTCAGCCCTACCTCGAGACTCAAATCATTGAGGCAGGGAGGTTGGATTCCCCTCCTCACTAGAGGTTACCTACCGTGCTTTCACCTATCTGAAAGCAGATTCTGAGTTGGGCTCATTTGAACCCTGAGGAGGCAGAAGGTAAGGAACAAGCAATCACCTGAGAATGACCTAGAGCTTCTTACCTGGTCATGGGGAACCATCTAAATCCACAGAATGAGGCCTTCCTGGGGCCCCTCACTGGGGCAGAAGGAGAAAGATGCTCATTTGTGGAAGCAGTTTAGGTAAAAGAAGGGGTGCTCTCCCAAAGGACTTGGCCATGGAGACTGTAGAATCTGAAGTCCAATTCAGCGAAAGTGTGCCATGTGCCTTTGTTTGCCTTTCTCCCTCCACCGCCAGCCTGCCCTGGTTTCGTGGGGCTATCTGAGCAGAGGTGACACCAGTATGCCCTCTGCCCACTCCAGGCTGTAGTAGGACAAGCTGAGGTCTCACCACTTTCCTTTCTTTTTTACAGTGGCAGCTGGCCTTGCCCATTTCTAAAGGATCCCAGGGAGAGTCTGCTGCCTTAGGTACACCCATGCACCTGGCAGGGGCTTGGTACCTCTCTGTAGAAAGGAAGGACAGTGAGACACACGGCAGGGAAAACAAAGCTGCTGCCTGGGGGTGTGGCATCTTTGGGAACTCAAGTCCAGGAGCAGGGAGATTTCCTGGGCTCTGATCCTTCATCAAGACATTACTGTCATGTCTCACCCCCACCCTGAAAATGCATCCCAAGGAGCCACCTAGCTAGCACACAGGGGATTGGGAAGCAATGGATGCCTAGCACACACTGCAGCCAGGCAGGGGTGATCAGACACATATCTCACACAGTGGCACTCAAAGAGATCAAAACGCATTTAATGTGGTCTAGTCTCATCGCTACATCTTTAGATACCGCTATGTATTGAAAATAACATGAAAATTCTCCAATTTCACCATTTAAAATAGATTTGACATTCTATGACCTCACACAGGGCAGACACCCCACACAGGGGCCCCCCAAGGTGGTTCCTTCTGTCCCACTCCCAGGCCCCTTGGGTGAACAGGGACTGGGTGGCACAGCACCAGCAGAGGTTGGAGGACAGCCGTCCGTGCTCTGAGCAGCACAGATACACTGCCCCACTGACGCATTCACACATACCCCAAGACCACACACACACACACACACATGCGCGCATATACTTGTGTCCACATAGACAGACATCCCATGGCCTCCAACACATGGTCCAGGTACAGACGCTCACCTCCGATGCCTCACACCAGCACTGATGGGACGATCAGGGAGAGGACTGGGAGCTCTCAGGTTAGGCAGCACCAAACTCTGAGGTCAGTGTCCAATCTGACCAGTGTGAACCCAGCCCTGACCTGGTAAGTGTTAAACCAGGCCCGCAGGAGGAAATAAGCACACGCATGCACACACATACACACACACACACACATACACACACACACGCATGCACACATGCACCCAGTGTGTAGACACATACATCTGAACATATCAAGTATCCACATCATCAATTCAATGTCACCTATGTGGGGAGTTGTGTGTGCATACTCACACATATGCACACGTGTGTGTACACCCCTCCCCTCCCCACACTCACCCCAGGGGTCAAGTCTCCCTCACTCCTGCATGCACTCAAGGCTCCTCATAGCTGTCCTCACGCATCAAGTGCACTAAACGGGGAACTATTTTGGTCTTTAGCACAAGCAATAAATAAATAAATAAATACAGGGAAAGAAAAAAAGAGGACAGATGGATTTGAAAACGCGAGAGATGAAGGGCAGCTCGGCCTCCCCTCCAAAGGGTTGAGTCATTCTGGTGGTTGTGGGCATGGGAGGACAGGCCGGAGAGGCAAATATACCAGGCCACTGAAGTGACAGGGACCTGGGCCCCCTGGATCTTAAGAAAGTAGAAGACTTGCCCATGCAGGCCTGGAAGGGCAGAGCAGGGCACAGGCCACCACCTAGTCCCAAGACTGGGGCCAACCCTGTCCCTCAGCTGGAAGTCTAGGCTGGATGGGTGAGAACTAAGCACCCCCATGCCAATTTGATTTCCAGAGCACCAAGGCTAAGGCTAAAAAAGCCCATCAGACTTTAGAGCCAGGGGTCAGAGCCAGGAGCCCAGAAGAGCTGAGGTCCCTCTGGCAGATCCTGAGAGGAAATTGCTGTCCAGAGCTAGATCATCTAGGCCAAAATTTCAGGCTGGGTCTGATGCTAGGGCAGGGTGCCTGGAGTGTGGCCTAGCTCAGGGTGAGAGGCTAAGCTGTCTCTGGGCTCTGTCCTAGGTATGTTTTCAGAGAAATGGTAGCCTGTGTCTAAAATGCCCATGGCCCTGACCTTCAGGGAGGACTATCTAAGAGGCAGGAGCCCCTCCCCAGGACCCAGACTCTCTCTGCCCACTCACTGTGTGACCTTGTATATCCCCTTTGCCACTCTCAGCCTCAGTTTCCCAACTTGGGCCATAAAGTCCCTGGTGCCTTCTTGTCCTGAGCATGGGGGCTTGGGTTAAAGCAGGCTGGGATGGCAGCCAGGAAACACAGGCTTTCCCATTGCTACCTTCCTGAGGGGCTAACCAGGGAAGACAGGTTTCCCCAGCAGCCCCGAGAAAGGCTGGGCTGCTCCCTGGCCTGGCCCCACAAGCTGGAAGAACAAGGCAGAGTCAATTTGGTCATGACAAGGGGCCTCACACCTCTTCTCAGTCAGGGCCCCTGGAGTGAGGCCTGTCCCAGGGCAAGAGGCCTGAGGTATCTCCGGGCCCTAACACTGCATCTTGCAGGGAAGTGATTGCCACTCCTGGACTCTCTGTGGCCCCTGTCCTCAGGAAAACATGGAGGGAAGAGGAAGGAGCTCATCCCAGGTCCCTGAAGCCTGAACAGGAATTCTTTGTTCCATGGCCACTTTTTCAATTCACCTTTGAATAAATATGATCCTAAATAATGGGGGTGGGAGAAGACAACTCCTCTATGTCCCCACATTCTTTCCTCTGCCCTTTGGCAACAGACCCCAAAATGGCTGGGACTCTCTGGGCTACCCTGTATTGCTTGAGGTATGTAGGGGAGAGGGCAGGCAGGGGTGGCCACGCGCCAGGGGCCCAGTCTCTGGCACCTTCCCAGGGCAGATGGAGAGGGTTGGGAAGGGTGCAGCAAGTCCAATAAAAACAGAAACAACTCAAGTCAGACAACCTGAAGTCTCTTAAGGCACAACTCCCACTGTGGGCCCAGGGGGAAAGCTGACTCCCTTCCTCCGTCTGAGGGAACCCGGCGTCCCCTCCCCCTTTCCAAGGAGCCGCCCATGGTTCCTAGTTGCCCCTCATCTGAAGGGTGCAGACCCTGGCAGAAGTGAAGAGAGAGGCCAAACATGGGCATGGAGGCAGGGAGACCCTCAAGGGCAGGTCCCACCCAGCCCTGAGACCTGAGACCACCTCTGAGGTACAGCATCAAACTCAAAAAGAGCAAACCAGTTTCTTCCCCAGCCCCACCCCAAGAGCATCTGAAAGCTTTTATTAGGATCATCAACATGGTCTTGGCTCTTCTGTGACAAACAGAACCTAATTCACCCCTAAGCATGATGAACTGTGGGGACCCTAGCACACATGGGGGAGAGGTCAGTCCAGCCTCAGGGAACCTTCTAGTATACCCATCCATCTAGCCACTTGCACTGCGGCAGACCAGTGGAATTCTTATTGTCCTTCCCCCACAACCCCATGAATTAAAAATAGTTTTTTTCAATTGCATGTTATTATTATTATTTTTTTGTAAACAGTCTTACCCAAGCTAAGGTTGAAAAAGCTGAAATCTGGTGTTTCTCCCCAAGTTAAAAATCATGGAGGTGCCTGCAGCCTGCCAGCCTATAACCGCAGAGGTGGGCCACCGCAGGGTGACTGTGCAGGCTGCAGCTCCTTCTCCAGGCAGAAGCTCCTGGCTCCTATGGCTGGATTCCCAGGAGGCCACTTCCCTGACCTGTGCCGCCTTGGCTTCTGAGACCATGGGCTGCCCACTCTGGCCACCCACTCTCCCACCAACTTTCCAAGGCTATTGCGAAGAACATAAAACGACTAAAACACTACTGAGTCTGCAACCCAGGCCACCTGGCCCACTCTGCTCAAACCCAGGGCCCCAAAGGACACTGGGCCACTCCCTGGTGGGTGAACCCTGCATTTCGCCACCAGCAGCTCAGATCTCTGACTCTCGTCTGTAGGGCCTCTGCTCAAGGGCAGCGCCACCAGCCTGCAGCCTGTCAAAGTCATGCCGAGGCTGGGGACTGAGGCCATCCCGACTGCAACCATCTTGGTCTCCTTCCACCTCATCCTCCTCATCACGGCTCAGGAAGGCCAGCTCGTTCTCATAGCAGAAGGAGTTGGCGCTGGGCAAGAGAAACTTGTTCTCCACCAGGTCCTTGGCGCTGCAGCGAGGCGTGGAGGGCACCTCGTAGGTCTTGTGGAAGTGTGAGTAATCGATCTTGTACTGATTCTTCTCTTCAAAGAGCACTGGCTCAAAACGGTGGCCCCATAGGATCTCGTTGGCCAGGTAGGAGCTGCGGGCCTGTGTGGTCATTGCTGTGGCCTCTACCATGCCCTCCAGGATCACCACGATCTCAAAGTCATCTGTCTCCAAGTCCTGTCGGCTGATGCCGAACAGTGGGCTGGCCTCATCAATCTCATGCAGGATGGTGATGGGCGACACCAGGAAGATGCGGTCCAGGCCCTTGTCAAAGCCCACATCAATGTCTATCTGATCCAGCGGGATGTACTCGCCCTCCTCCGTGACCCGGGGCTTGATGAGCTGGGCCCGGACGTGGGCCTCCACGATGTGGCTCTTGCGCAGGTTACCCACGCGCCACATGAGGCAGAGCTTGCCATCACGCAGTGCCACCACGGCGTTGTGGCTGAACAGCAGAGTCTGCGCCCGCTTTTTGGGCCGTGCCATCTTGGCCATGATGGCACCAATCATGAAGGAGTCGATGATGCAGCCCACGATGGACTGAGCCACCACCATGAAGACAGCCACTGGACACTCCTCGGTCACACAGCGCAGCCCGTAGCCGATGGTGGTCTGCGTTTCAATGGAGAAGAGAAAGGCTGCCATGAACCCATGGACCTGCATCACACAGGGGGTGCGGCCACGATTCTCGGCCGGCTCCAGGTCACCATGGGCCACAGCAATGACCCAGAAAATGACACCAAACAGCAGCCAGGAGGCAAGGAAGGCCAGAGAAAAGATGAGCAACATGTAGCGCCAGCGGATGTCCACGCAAGTGGTGAACATGTCGGCCAGGTAGCGCTGCGACTTCTCGTCCATGTTCGCGAACTCGATGTTGCACTGACCGTTCTTCTTGACGAAGCGGTTGCGGCACCGGCGCCTAGTGTGCACCTTGCCATTGCCAAAGCCATTGGCACCCGACATGGTGACCAAGTGCAGCCCGTCCTCCTCTGATGACACGATGCTGTAGGGGTTGGCCCGACTGGCAGCAGTCATCCCGGGGGTCAGGGGGCCCTGACCTGGCCCCAAGCTGGCTCCGGGCAGGGAGGCTCCTGGAACAGAGAGGACAGGAGTCTGCGGGGCAGAGTAAATGGCATTCTTCTGTCCCACCCAGTGCCCACAGCAGTGACCAGCAGACCTGGGAACACTCATTCATCCTTCACCCAGATGTCTTTCCTCTACCCTATGTCTTTTCATCTTGGAAAGTGGCCTCCTAACACCTCACATCAGAAACCTTAATTCACTCTAATTCCTCTAATTCTCATACCCAAGGCTCTGTTTTCAAAATATATTTAGAACAAAACCCCTTCTCCCACTCTCATGGCCTGAGTCCCCATTACTGTCCACCTGGTCCAGAGGGCACCTTGCCACCTTGATCCCTACAGCAATCACAGGCTAAATCAGATTCTGTCCCTTCTCTGTTCAAACCCAGAGGGTCTCTGAGACCTGCAGCGCCTACACAGGCAGGATCCATGATCCTCTGGCACCACCTTGAGCTCCCTTGCTCACCCTGCTGGACACCCCTCTACTCCAAATCCTCCTGCCACCCACTGCCTGTGCCACCCTCAGACTGTGACTTCAATATGCCATCCCCAGAGTCCTCTCTGGGCTCAAGGACTGTCCATCCCATCCTACAGTCACTCATGGCACTGATCTGCCATTGGAATAACAACAGCAGCGACAGCTATGTTGGCACAGGTGGGTTAGGACCTGGCCAGGGACCCCATGGTGACATCCCCATCCCCGGGAGCAGGCCTTTCCTCTTCTGCTCATTGTTACTGTCTCGCCCCTAGGGCAGAATAGGACCTACCAGCCTGGTCCCTCCTCACTTCAGATACACCAAGTGGGGTCCAATCCACACTCCTGACATCCACATAGCTTGCGTATTGTGCCCTCTTACATACCAACAGGCCATGTCTGTGACCTCTGTCACTAGTGATGGTAAAGAATGGCCAACCCAGGGTCACTTAGGGTTTCCTCAGTCTCAGCCCAGGGCCCTTTCCAACCTCAACTTCTTTCATCTCTAAATGAGGACCAGAGGGTCACTGCCCCAGCACATGGGAGCATGGTACTCCCACCATTACCCTTGACCCACTGGCATATGGGGTAACTCGGCTCCACACACACGCACACATACAGTCGCCTCAGTGCATCACAGCCCAGCAGAACAAACCCTGCTCTCAGGCCCAGAACACCCAGTTATATCCCCTCCCCCATTTCCTACAAGCTCCACTTGGATCAGTGGTGCCAGGCTGAGCTAGGGGTCATCACACTGCCTGGTCTTGTGGCTACTGACACCAACAGGACGTTAGCCTGTCTGGGCTGGACTAGGCTGGACTCCAGAGCAGAGCTGGAGCTCCTTGTTTGGGCAGAACACCGAGGAGTTAGACATATATGGACCCCACATACCACATACCACCAATTCTCACCCATCATACCACAAGGTCAGAGACAGACAGAGTCTAAGGGCCCTGACCACCTGCCACCACACTAACAGGTAGAGATATTGAGGTTCCCCAGGAGAAGGTTCCAGGGCTGCTGCAAACCTTTCTGAACCTCCAGGAAGGGGTGAGTCACCCTATTTTGAAGACAAAGACCTGGAGACACAGCAACTAAAAGACATTTGCCTGAGGCCCCCAGAAGTAGGTGACAAAACCAGGAATCAGCACATCTGGCCAAATGCTCAGGAGCCAGGCTCTTAGAGGAAACATGACCTCCAATCTCTGCTCCCAATACCAGAGGACAGTGAGACCATATGACTGGCTAGGCCAGGAAGCATGCCTGGGGTAGAGAGGGATCTATCTGTGCACTGTGAGCCCTGTCCTGGAAGGTACATACACTCCCAGCTCCAGAGGCCCAAGAACCACAGGAAGAGCTAGACACAGCCACCTCCCTCAGATCACCCTCTAGCAACCCACAACCATCATCCCTTCTACTCTCTGAATGAGGGTTCAGCAAAGTTAAAGGACCTCCACTCCCACCAAGCCACACAGCCTAAAACTGTAAAAAAGCTGATATCCAAACCACTTGTGCCCAGTGCAAATTCTCCCTCTAGGAGTATCCAGCTCCCCTGAGATACCTGTCCCCACTCTGCCACTGTCCCCCCACAATACTCCAGCTGACCACCTCACCATGGGTCTGAGAAGCTGAGACCCGATGCTGTAATGGGGGATGCTGCTTCCGCCTGGGCCAGGAGGCAGAGAGCTGGCTGGATTGGGGAGCCTTGGGGCTGTTCTGGGAACATAGTTCAGCTCCAGATTCTGGGGTCATCGGGGGGCAGGTGGCCAGGGTCGGTGCACTCAGGCGCCGGCAAGAGGCCGCCACATCCCAGGGGGTGGGTTTGCATGGCCTAGAGGCCTGGAGGGTCATCCAGCGGGTCATGGCTGCTCCAGCTTGTGCTCTGGGCAGCTTAAAGCCTGCAGAGAACAGAATCATCAGAATCAAGGAACAGACAGCTCAGCCCAGCAACCTGTTCCTACACCCTGGTGGCCCAGCCACCAGTAAGGAAGGGTGCTGCAGTGGTTCCTGCCATCTCCACCAGGACTGGACATCTGGGACCCACCTAAACAGTGCCAGACAGGCCCGGGAACTCCTACTTCTGTTGACGTTTCTCCTAAAATCGCACAGAGAAAATCAACAAGGTCAGGTTCACATCTCCTCCTCCTCCATTTTCCAGAGCCAGAAACTGACCTGGCACAGACTCACTTGTCCAAAAACACTCAGAAACTAAGAAGCTGAGACAGAGACACAGTTGTAGCCCAGAGCAACAGTCCTTGGCCTTCTATAGCCTCTCTATTGCACATGCGTGTGTATGAGCAATATATGCATGTATGTGTGTCAGACAGACAGACAGACCACTGAGGCATGGGAAGTCTCACTGGGCACTAGTTAAATGAGCACAGAGCCCCAAAGAAGACCCAGAAGAGATTCAAGCAGAAACTCAGCACCACAAGCCAAGCTTGCCCAGTGTTCCAAGGACGCTCCCACACAGCACAGGCATGGCAACAAGGTTACACAACTGTGCGATCCTTAAGAGCTCACTTTAAGAAATGTAGGTCAGTCCCCTCAGCCAGAGATGTGCAGGTCTCTTTGGCTCTGGGCTCAATGGGATGCAAATGGTGAAATCAGATAAGAAAAGGAATTGGAGAATTTGTTTGCTGCAAGAAGCCTTAGCAAGCAAGGAGGCCAGCTCTGCATTTATAGATGTGAAAACCAAAGCCAAGAGAAAGAGAGACTTATCCCAGGTCAAGACAAGTTAAGACCACTCTAGGGAAGCCTGGGTGGTCAGTGGGGCTTGCAGACCTCACTATAAGTAGGAAGGGAGGGATGCTGGGCACTACCTGAGCTGGACAGAGCAATTCCACACTGGACAGGCTAAAGCCAGCCCACCAGGCAGAGCTCAGGGGTGTAGGGACAGACCCAACCAGCAGCGGTGAAGTCGCCCCAGAGCTGCAGCCTTGCCAACTGCTTCTTGCCAGTCACGATGCCTCCAAACACAGCCTCCCATCGTCCGGTGTGCTGGGAGCACCAGCTGGGTCTTGGGCTGGAGCTTATAGAGAGGACGCCACACCGCAGCTGCCACCCGACCCAAGGGTGGAGCCTGAGAGTCACCGGGAGGGGCCTCCGGATGGAGTAGGACACCCCATGCCCAGTCCCTGAGGATCTGGGCACCTCAGGTTTCTGTAACATCCGGGAGGAGCCAAGACAGGACATGGGGCCACATTCTCAGTTCCAGAGAAGCATGGATGGGAGGGACAGGCTCTGGGCTCCTGGAAGGGCACATCAGCAGAACCTCCAGCAGAATCCCTGGCTGCCTGGACCAGCAGCACTACGAGCACAGTGGTCAAAATGTATAGACCACTTACCCCCCACCCAAGATGCTCTTGTAAAAGTTCTAACAAACTCACTCACTTAATCCCTATAATAACACTGTGACTAAGTACTATTTCTACTTCCTAGTGAGGAAACTGAAACTCATAGTGGTCACCTTGGAAAAGCAGCCCTTCCGATCTAGGGGTGGGGACAAAACACCACCCTGTCACCACAGGCTCTGGTGTGGTGCTATGTCCGTCTCAGTCCTGTAGACCCTGTACTTCCATTTGGCGACAAGATGTACAGACATCCCCAGACTCACATCCTTAAGCTTAAGTAGGGACACCCATTAGCACTGACCCATGGCCCCCTGCCCTGGTTTGGAACATCCAGAGATAGGACCCTGATTATCTATGAAGATTCCTTAAAAATGCTTCATGCAGGGAAGGGCAGTGGGTGGCCTACATGCACAGGCACCTCTTCCTCCTCCTCCTCCCCCTCTCCCTCCTCTTCCCTCTCCCCCTCCCCTCCTCCTCCCCCTTCTCCTCCTCCTCCCCCTTCTCCTCCTCCTCCTCTTTCTCCTCCTCTTCCGCCTTTTCCCCCTCCTATCACCTCAGGCCTGTGACAGACATCACTAATCAATCACAGACCTTTCCATTGCATCTAGGATAACCCCAGAATCTTTCCTAATCCAGTCACTATCCATGAGACTTAGCCTATGAGGCTCCAAGAAGGCTCCTAGGCACAAGAAATCAGGGGCCAGGCAGGCTAGGTGTTCAGAGTTCTCTCTCATGCCAAGCCTTGTCTAGAGAGTAGAACCACAGTGGAGCCAGACCGGCAATATGGGATAGTGAAGAGGGGTATTCCTGGTGGGGTATGGCCAGATCCAAGAGCTAGAGGCCAGCAAGGTGGCTGAAGCTGTCTAGCGAGAGCCAAGCATGTTGGGGAGGGAGATGAAGAGCTGGTAGGGAGCCAACAGTTCTGGAAGAAGATGATCTCTCATGCGCAACCGCCTATCCAGGTGTGACTGCATACTTGGCCACCCACAGTCGGCAATGAAGTACAGGCCTTCTGTGCAGGCCCATGAGGCCCAGGACAACAATGATCACCATAAGTCAGGATGTACTGTGAAAGCGGGTAGGTAAGGCAGCCCTTATATCCCTGAGCCCTCCTTACCACAGGGCCCACCTCCCCAATTCCAGCAGCCACCATCATCTTCTTGCCTGGAAACACCCTCTAGGCCCTGGAGCACACTCTACATGGGCACAGGGCAGCTGATGCCACCAGGAGCAGAAGAAACACTCCAAAATTCTGACCATGGGTGGCAGACCTCTGCCTGGCTGCCCAGCAGCAGAATGCCAGTGCCCCTGCAGTCACTGCTAAGTCAACAGCACTCCTTTGGTTGTCCCTTTCTCTTCCTTGTCTCACTCCCTCACTGCCTTCTGGCAGTCCAGAGTTTACTTCCTACCAAACTATTTGCACTGGGACTTTTGTCTTCTGGGACTGCCAGCTGTTTCTACCCCACAAAGACTCCAAAACCAGGCTCCCCTCCTTGGCACCACATGGCCAGTAGTGACCACCTTGCTGGCCTCTAGCTCTTGCTGACCTCTCCTCTTCTTTCTCTTCCTCCTCCTCTTCTTTCTCTTTCTTCTCCTCTTCTTCCTCCTCCTCCCCTTCCTCCTCATCTTCCTCTTTCTCCTCCTTCCTTACCTCCTCCTCTTTACCCTCATCCTGCTCCTCCTCTTCCTTCATCATGAAGACTTTTTGGAGTCTCTAGTCCTGAGGTTTTTCTGCTAGGGCCAGAAGCCACTTTTTAGTTTGCACCCTTGCATAACAGGTAATCTGTCTGGCCCCATTTCTGATAGACCTCAGAGGGCAGAGAGGCTGGCACAGAGAAGGCCCAGGAAATGCCTCCAGCCCAAATGAAAAGGACAAGGTATAAGCAGTGAATAGAGGGATGGATGAGGAGGTGATGGAATCATGAATGAGGAGACAGATATATACATAGGTGGGTGGTCAAGCAGATGGATAGATAAATCAGGCTGATGGGTGGGTGGGTAGATAGACAGGGCTGACCAAATAGATGGATAGGTTAGGTGGGTGGAGAGGTAGATGGTGCAGCAGATGAATGGGTTGGGGAAATGAGTAATGAATGGATGAGGTGGGTGGGTGGATGGATTAGTGAGTAGATGAATGGATGGGTAGGTCAGTGGGTGGAATAGATGGGCGGATGGATGGCTGGGCGGAGAGGTGGGTGGGTGAATGGGTAGGTGGATGATAGGTAGATGAAGCACATGTAGCTGCTGGATGGATGACAGTGGGATGAGAAGTCAGACGGTGGGGGGATGGGCAGAAAGGGCAAGTGAGTAGGTGGGAGGAGGTACCAATAGGGTCTGGCAGATGGACACTGAGAAGCACAGGTGCATGTCAGGAACCTTAATCTCACCTCTTGAACCTTGTCTTCTAAGTTATGGTGTTGAGCGGGCAAGTGACTGTCCTCAGGGCTGAATTAGCAGCAGCTGCCATTTTCCAGGCCCCAGGTGGGAAGGATCCAATCACCCGCAGATCCTAAAATGAACAGAGCAAAGCACGTTACTGCACACATTTCTGCTCCCCTCAGAGGGGCTCACAGCTTTCTTCCTGAGCCACATTTCTGCTCTGGTCCTCCAAAGTCCCATGGGACATGGAGGGAGCCTCCAGCCTACACCTCCGATGCCCCCATCATTCAATCCACCCATCATTCAATCCGATGCCCCATCATTCGAGCCCTGTCCAAGGCAACTATCTAGAACCACACAAAGCAAGAATAAGATGGGTCCTCAGAGAAAACTCTAGCTGACAATTACAAGTGCCTACTGCATGGATATCATGATAAATGTTCTATCATCTCCTATAATCTCATAACCCCACAAGGTTGAAACTATTGCTATTCCCATTCCAGAGAAGTGGAGAATGTGGTGATTCTCTTAGACTGGTGATAGTGAATCTTTTAGAGTTTTCAAACTGTTAGAGTAACAAACTGTTTGCTGTGGCACATGTGCCACCACTTCCCTAAAGTCACAAGGGAACTCTAGCCCCTGACTCTTCTCCTAGCTACCACCTGCCAAGTCCTCCCAGTGCCACCTCTGGGGCAGCTGGTTGGATACGTGTGTGGGCAGACAGATGAATGGACAGAGGGACAGATGGAGAGCTGGAGGACAGATGGGTGAGTGAATAAAGGATGGATGGATGAATAGATGATTGACAGGTAGACAGACAGATGGGTGGAGGAATGGGTACCTAGACAGATGGAAAGCTAGATGGACAGGTAAGTAGATGAAAGATGGATGGATGGATGTACAGACAGAAGAATGTTTAGATAGATGGATATGTGGGTAGATGAGTGAGTAAATAGATGAATAAGTGGGTGAATAGGGTGTTTGGGCAGGTGGGATAGATGATCAAGTAGAGGAATGAATGGAAAAACTGATTATTATAAAAATCAGTAGGCTAAGAATTTGCACTGGCCACATATACACCCATATTGGGTCTGCAGTCCCCCAGCATCAATTTCCTATGGCTCAAAGGCCCCTGCCTCTCCAGTA